CCTTTGGATAGCTCATTTATTTAGTGGCATTATATGTAAGCATAGTATTGATTTATTGAAAATTAAAAAATGGGATAGAAAAACTTATGGGACTATTATTGAATATGAAAATCAATCTTTGGCCTACAAGTATGCCTATCCCAACAACATTTTGAGTAATAATCATAGTTCGCAAATCAAGTTTAACTGTAGTTCGACTTTATTTAAAAAAAAGCCAAATGTTATATAACAATCATCTCTTAATATATAAGAAAATTAATTATTAAGTAAAATAAATTTGTCTTCAGTTCCACTACTTGATCCTAGTAAATAGAATAATTTAGTAACCCATTATTTCATGTTCTCTTTTGCCTTAGTCATGTGTTCTCTGAGCATAGGGTCATATATTAGATATATTCTTGACAAGGCATCGCAGTCAGCATGTTTAATATGTAAATCCATGTAAATTGGATGACAACGAATCGTTGATACTTGTTTGAGCTCATTTTTGCAAATTTGATGGTATTGTCAGGCCGTGGAGACAATGCCTAATATCTGCAAGTCTAGGAATAAGAGCCTATGCACTCTGCTCGGTAAGGCCATAGTATACATGCTATCGAAAGTAAGTGCCAAACAATGAGAAATATAAGTGAGTTGACCTCGTTGTCGCAACTTGGTCTTGTCAGGGCGACTTAGTGGAACGCATCTAGTCCGAAGTCGATTGCCATAGTAGTTGTCATGATTCCCAGCATCAGACAGTAGACTTAGTACATTCTCAAACGTTTCGCCGGCATCATATTCGGCAGCATCAGTGAGTTTTGCCATTCGTCGCACCAAGCTACGAACTCGTCAAAGAAACAAGTTAAGCCAATCCCTGAACAAACGTTCTGCCGAAAACGGTTTCACTATCACTCCTCTTTCTGTCCTGGCCTATCTATCTACTCTTTCCCCTCTTATCCCATTGCCGCCCTATCACAACTTCTTACTAGTTTATATTCCAATAATCAAAATGTGTGCCCTTTTGTAGCAATTCTAGTGTGGCCCCCTCACACTTGCTATTTACCCAAACCCCTTTCTTTCTATCTGCTTATCTGACTCGGGCCTCTACCAATCCGGATACCTTCATTTTCTCGTGGATCCGTTCCTTATCTTTCTGGTTGATCGATTTTACTCGATAGATAGCAAGTGTGAGGGGGCCACACTATAATTGCAACAAAAGGGCACACATTTTGATGATTTGAATATGAACTAGTAAGAAGTTGTGATAGGGCGGCAACGGTATAAGAGGGTAAAGAGTAGATAGATAGGCCAAGACAGAAAGAGGAGTGCTAGTGCAACCGTTTTCGGCAGAACATTTGTTCAGGCATTGATTTCACTTGTCTCTTTGACGAGTTCGTAGCTTGGTGCGGCGAATGGCAAAACTCACTGATGATGCCGACTATGATGCCAGCGAAACGTTTGCGAATATACCAAGTCCACTGGAACTAATTCCAAAGATCTTGACACATCAGGAGCCTACACACAGGAACAGATTTTCCGTGATACACAAAAACCTGGAAAGTAATGAACAATTAGTCCTTCAGACGGACGAAGGAGGAGCTACGGTTATAATGGACAAAAAACAATATACCGAGAAGATGGAACATACCCTACGAGACAGGACCACATATCATATATCAAACAAGGATCCAACTATGAAGATCAATGGAATCTTAAGTGGTATGCTGAAAGATATGCATAGGAATGAGGAAATTGATGCATGGACAATGAATTCAATTATAAGAAAGGATGCACGACCACCAACAGCATACGGATTACCGAAGATACTTAAAGAAGGTGAGCCACTAAGGCTGATAGTCAACAACAAGTATGGAC